ACTGAAAACTTGCAAGTTACTCTTTGGAAAAAAAATAAACAGTGGCAGATGAAGTCTGAAAGTGTTTTTTCTTTAAATATAATACCTCAGTACATTTAATAATAAAAGTAAGCTCTACAAAAGATCTCTCTTTTACATATTATACAAAATGTAGAGATTAGTGCAACCCACTGGGTCACACTTTTTTCAGTCACATATCAGGAAGACTTGAAATTAGAAAATTATGCAATTTCCACAGCTCATCTTCCTATTGGTAACAGAATCATGTTGTGTCCCATCATTTATGTGCATTTGTTTTCCAGTAGGAACTTCAGTTTATTTTCTGTCTGTTTCCTCTCATGATGAACATTATCCAATGCTTTGCTTGTGAAATACAATGAATTCAAAAACTATCAAAGCATACCAGCATTCGGTTGGCAGGTGGTACTCCTCTGAAAACATTTGCTTTATTTAATCAAATCTGCCAAATGGAGAGCTTATTAAAATGTAGTTTATGGATGTTCTCCCCCCTGTTTTCTGGCGCCATGGAGGTGAAAATTCTGGTTACAATATTCCTGAGTGCCAAACTGAGTCATCAAGGTCAGTTTTGATCAACAAACGTCCTGGCAGATGACAGCGAGTTGTGACTATGGTTGTAGCATATGACATACACTTTGGAAACCATTACCTAATAAAAACAAAACAAACAAAAAACAGAAAGAAAGAGGAAAAGAAAGGGAGAGGGCAAGAGAGAAAGAGACTGCGTCTTCATTGTTACGTGTCAGGAGAATGGTCTTCTACCACACAAGGTTCTGTCTGGTTCTCCTCCTCTTCTACTTCTTCCCCTACTTGCTCATCAAGAGGAATTTCAGTGGATTCTGAATCCTGGGTGCAAAGAGTCTTGGAGTCACTGCAGCTGGTGTCTTCTTCTACTTGACTTCCACTGCCCTTTTCAGTGTCTAACTCACCGTCTTCCTCAAGTGTTAGTTCAAACTGGAATTTTTCAGTTTGGCCCTGCCTACCCTCTTCCTGGTCATCAGGTGCAGGAGAGGGACTTTGAGGGATTGTGCTCTGGTACCATTCTCGATTGTCCTCCAGTGTATCTAAGATATCCTGGGCATCTGGGTGAACAAGATCTGCCCACGTCTCCCACAGAGGATGAACAATGTAGTCTATAAAACCCACCTGTTTCAAATAATATAAAATCAGGATGAGCTGTTATTCACAAAGAAATAAACAACTATGCCTATAAGCCACACGAAGTAAGAGAAATATAACGCTAGTAAGAGACACTAGATGCACTACCCTTAAAGGTGGCTGAAAGGAAACCATGTTGTTTTATGTAGTAAACAGGGTCCTTTACATTTCAGGTCTGATTCAGGATATTGGATAAGGACTTGGAAAGGATTTGTTTTCAAATGGACTGTTCATTCCAAACATCTCCACTGCATCTAGTGAGCCAAACAGCTGCTTTATATTTAATTCTGCTTGTGAAGGAAACGCTAATGATCAGCTGTACAATACTCTCTTTTGACATGTATGCTTCATTGCAGATCATGACAGTGATGGAATCCTTTCAGCAAACACACTACCATGCACTATGTTTTCAGAGTAAAAATTTCAGCTCCCCTCACTTACTACTCAGGAGCTGAATTAATTAACTAGGAGGAAAAAGGAAATAGTGCATTCAAAAATTAATCAAAACATGGCTATGGACCATCCTTTTCTGTTAAAATGTCATACTGTGTTATTTAACTGCCCACTCAAATCAATTACCTGTGATTTTTCTACAGATGCATTGTGTTTATCACACATGGGACTTATCTCCATTCCCCTCTCTCTTTCCCGATCTCCTTGACGGAAAAATTCCTCCATTATTCTGTCTGTCCATTGGCGGTAGAGATGGAGTGGCTTGGTTGGATTGCTTAGATCTGCACAGTGCACCATATTCTGAAGAACCTGAAATAGATTGAACACATGTGGTGTTATTACACTGGAGAAAACCAGCTCCTTTTCCATTTACACTTTTGGTGGCTGTGAAACAGAATCTTGAAAATACATGTAGTGCAAGATTTATTCTAAACAGAAGAAAACTTATGTGCTTGGGTGTTTTTCACACTTGCAGTAATAGCTATGAATTACCTTGCCTTTGCTGCTTCTGTCTGTATAAGGGACAGAAAAGCTTTGAGAGAAAGACTAACCAGGTGGTGACAATTTGAAGGGAAGGCCAAAGCCTCATTTAGTCTAGAAGTACTCTAGCACCTCATTACTCTCTCAGAGAGTCACTCACTACGTAACAAAGTATGTCACAGGTAGGAAACATAAGAGGGAGTAGAGGGAAGGTAGTGAGTCATGGTGTGAGAACGGACAGCTGATTTAATCCATGCTGGAAAATGGGCAGGCCAATGTTATTAAGGATGTGAGTTAATACAAATGACCATTTGCAAATGAACTTTCTTACCTGAATCCTGTCTGAATAGTTATCAAGAAGTAGGACACCAGAACTGGTCACTTTTTTGGTTTCAACCATAGTTTTTAAATCAGCCAATAGATTCATATGCTTAGACATGTCTGTTGCAAGTACCTTGAAAGAAACAAACAAAAAAATGAATATTACATAAATTATTCTACTGATTTTTAAAAAAATCTTTAAACACACAAATAAACAGTTCTGGGGGGAATCCATAACTCCTGTGTCTAAATACACTATAAAAGTCTGAGTCCTGTACGTCATTAGTGTCCAAAATAGTAAGTTTTAATTTTGGTTATTTTAAGAATATGACAAAATGATTGTTCAGAATTGTTCAGAATGATCTGATCAGCCTAAATTCATCATCAATTCAGTAGCAAATTTCTGTGTACATGTCAGTACAAAACCAGCTTGAAGCAGGACCATATACCTTCTAAAAAGGTATAATATTGAAACTGAAAAGAACCCCCTATTTATGTTGGGTAAGGCATGATAAATCTTCAAACTTTTACTTCATTGGTTATGGGTCTAATCACATGTAATCTATCATAAAATGTTTCTGTGCTCTATTATTCAATTTGCTAGCAGTATGGAAGAGAGACTCTCAAGCAGAACTTACAATGTCAATGACCATTTTCCTCAATGATTGCCTCTGTTTTTTCGTCAAATTCTGGAAAATGTCACAATTTTCTTCCTGCAGCAGCTTGAAGCCCACAGCTAAGTGATGATTCTCCAGTACTGATGAGTCATTGTACATCAAGGCGAGTTCAGAATCTGCAGTACCAATCGCAGGGCAGAACGTTACTAACGCCTGTGCTTCTACCAAATCCCTTAAGATTTTTCAGATTCGTTACATTCATAACAAGATTTACAGATGAACTTTTAGAAACAGAGTTCCTGTAGTTCACACAGTATCAAAAGTTACAGAATTAATGACTGAACATCTTAACAAATCAAGGCAAAGTATGTTGAGGAAAATAAAGAAAACACTTTGCAGTGAAGCATGTACATGTGCCTGGAGTGGCAAGTTCGAAAAAATACAAGGAAGGTATTTTTCAGAATATATTTTCATATCTGCATGAGGTCACATGGAAAATATTATACACATAAACACACCTAAACTAAAACACACTCTGATGTTTTCTCTTCTCATGCCTCCTTCCCATCACAACTACTAAAATTCCATTGTTTAAGTCAAGTTGCAGCTATCCAGCACTCAGACTGGGAATACACAGCTGAGGCTTTGCTGCAGGTCAGGCAGAGAGCACACATCTTGGTTTTCAAACCATGTCCTTCTGCAGTTAGCTAAGGCACTCAGATGCCTAGCCAATTAGGCCTACGGGTCATTAGACCATGACAATTGGATATTTTGAGAGGAGGCTGATAGGATGGTAACAGTTTCGCTTCTGGTCTTTTTCTTGGAAGGTCATGTGGCTTGAAAATGCAAGCAGTGGCCTTGCCTACTGCCTCATACTTGAGTGTGGTCAATGCCTCATGTTGTAACACTGTGCCTTCTTCAACAGAAGTATTCTTAGCTCCGTCACTCCATATGGCTGTGAGAATAACACACACCTGCCTAGCAACGCCTGTGCTAAGGCATACACACAAGGTCTGCATTTGTCTGCTTAGACCTGCTGAGCAGCCAGCTCTGACAAATAAAAGCAGTTACAACAATTTTCTGCGCAGCTTTAGATTCTACGCGGCGATACTGCACCGTCAGCTTGTGTATGTTTTAAGACGCAGCCTGCAAATGAAGCTGTCATAGAAACCAAATACTTGTTATGCAATCACACTTTTCATGTGTGATATTAACTTCTATTTATTATAGCTGTTCTACCCTAAATCTAACCATGCGTCAGTCTATTCTACTCTTTGTCCTCTTTATCTTCTTTTACAGCAGCTTTGTTTTAAAATCCCTCTGGATCGGTGGGGTGCATATAAAATCTCTGCTCTTCAGATTTCATTAGTCTCATTATCCATTCTCCTGCTGTCTTCCTCTCCTGTCTTGAATATATCAATCTTTTGAATCAGGAAACCCTTCCTCTACCTTTCCTTATCCCAATGGCAGCAGAACCGTAATAGCAAAAGGAAAAAGAGAGTGAGTTTGTCAAATGATTTCTCTTTCATCTTGTACAGAACATTTACAAAGCTTGCCTATTTGCTATTTTTCTTACAAAGACCCCAGGCACTAGCTTATTTTCCTTTCAAACAGTCTTCTGATGAGCCCCAACTGCAAAACACTCAACGTTGCCAAAACACTTTGGAATGGCTGGAGCTACAAGACAGAGCTAAAATGGGCTCAACTTTATAACAGACGTGGAAATGGAAGAAAATTCCCTCTTGGTAATCTTTGTAACACATTATAATCTTCAAGAGTATTTATCTGGAAGGACAGAGTTACAATCATCAAATAAGCATCTCCTCTGATGCTAATACAATCCATATTTGTTATTTAATAGCATTCAAGGGGGATCAGATTTTTAGACAACTGTGTAAATAGACTTTAAGTCCTTAAATAGGGAAAG